GGGGGGCTGTCTCTTCAATCAAAAATGAACAGCAAGGATTTTTTTCCTTTTGCATTATATTCTTTGGGGGTTGAGGTTAACCCATGTACAGAAGGCTTTTGTTGTTGTTGTTGTTACTAATAAGGTACCTTATGTTTCTGGCCAAGTATAAGCTCTCTAAGAAATCTGGTAGCTTCTTGAGACCAGCTGGTACAGGTTAAATAATTACGCAGTCTATAATTCAATTAAAATTGAGCCTGTCATGTGCCCCATGAAAGCACCCTTTGGGGCAAAGTCTCGCCCTCTCTCCCTTCTTCTTCTTCCTTTTTTTTTTTTGCTTGTCTTCCAAGCCATCATTTTTTAGAAAGAGGAAATTTAAGATTGATTGTATTTAAATATAGTTAATGAGAAATTCAATAAGCCTGCTCACTGGGCTTAATGAGTTATATTTGATTATACCGGGTAGGCTGCAATCTGTATTTCTAGCTACGTGTATCCTAAGTGCCACCTCCCACCCAAAGCCAAGCATGTCCGAGTCTCTGATTTATTAGTTGTACCTTGAACTCTTCCTATGCAACCTTAAAGGTCCGTAGAGTTCAGTGACTTTTAATTTGAAGAGGTTTAAATGTGAACAGCACGGCTGCCTGGTTGGTGTGGGGACTGACCCACAGGCAGAGAAGCCAGTCTAGCTGATCACCACTCACTACCTCAACCTACGTCACACACGGTGGCTTTGTCTCTCCACCCTTGGTCATACAGGAAATCACTTTTATGAAGGCATGCATCTTAATTCTTTGGGGAAAAATGACCTAGAATAAAAAGTCATGTGCTACTCCTAGTAATGGAAATAAAAAGTACATCAATCTAAGAAAAGGATGGTGTGTTGGCCAGAAAATCAGTTTGGAATAACTGTGAGGATATATGGAATGTCAAATTCAGCAATGACTCCAATTTATACTGTGAACAAATCCACCATTCTTTATAAAGACAGAAGAAAAAAACAATTTATAGCTTTGTTTCAGTTAAGTACAAACACTGCTCTTTGGATAAAAGATGCAGCTTAAGGGAATGCTGCAAAGATGGTTGTGATGTGAAGAGGCAAAGAGGAAACACAATTCACAAAACCAACACGCAAAACCATTTTCCTTTTTGCAAATTTGGGAATAAGCAAATGACCCAGGAAGTCAGCCTTGCATAAATGCATTGTGCTACCATCTGGGAGCTGAAAGGGAAGGCACCCAGTGGACAGGACAGATGGCTTTGATATGAAGCAGTCAGATCGCCCACTCATTCTCAAGACAATGGCCAGCTCCCACGGCAGCCACTATTGTCATTTTGGCCCTATTAGAACCAAAGTCCAATGTATCTTCCCTGTCTGCCCCCAACCCAAGCCTTTATGTTCTGTTCCCTTGATTCCTATTACCCTTGGGTGATAAGAGGAAAGGAGGCTTGCAGATGGTTGAGACACACTGTATTTCCGATCCCTACATTGCTCGAATGTATTCTTCTAAAAATCTTCCAGAGGTTATTCCCTGTAGAAACAGCTTTTTGATCCAAATTTCTTTTCCATTCCTCTATCATGTCTCAAGAACAGCTCCTGCCAAAGGTTGACCAGCTGCCTCCGCTACTTCAATGTCCCCGTGCATTCAAAGTTTAGTTCCCCTTCTGTTCTTTTACTCCCGGGTCCTCCTTGCCTGCCAAGCCTTCCTCTGGCCAGGCAAACGGAACCGTTCAGCAAGGCCAGCTGTGTTCTGCCTTCTCCACGAAACCCTGGCTGACTGCTTCAGTCCTCCTGACCTTACCCTTTCCTGCCCTCCGTGAAATACTGCCTTGCCTTGTGCTCTGCTGTTTCCTCTGTGTTAGTGTTGGCTCCCACAAGCGCTTGGGGAAAGGATGATATCTTTGATTTATATATATGCATGGCACACAGTGACTTATTAACTGTTTGACTGAAATACCAAGACGTATACACATTTGATTAATCTCTGGGCATCGTATTCCAGGTGTTCAAAGGAGTTCTTTCATATTTAGGTAGTGAATGCGAATGTTCTCCAGGCTTCCATGCTTGGGTCACAATTAATTAGTTTTCTATTTGTTGGAAAAGTCATGACGCATTTTTGCAATGAAAAACAGAAAAAATACGTCATGACTTTACCGACAGCCCAGTAAAATGCCAATTTGACTAAGGTGCTTCTCTGTTTCTAGTCCTCCACAGGCTCTGCACAGCCTAGGGCAGGGACCACATGCCTTCACATGGTACATGAAACCCACCATGAGTTCAAACTCATCTCTCACCATTGTCCACGTCTCTTTTCATTGTGTTAATACCAAATTTCGTGTGGATTCCCTATTTACAGTTTTACCTGTCTATACATGTACGCATGCTATTCCACCTACAGGGAATGCTATTTTCACCATTTCATTAGGAAAACCCCTTTTAATTCTTCATGTTTGGCCTGGTGATCACTTTACAGTATCTTCTCTGACCCTCCCAGAGAGAAATGATGCCAGTTTTCAAACTGTGGCCTCCTGACCAGCAGCATCACAACCATCCAGGAACTTGTTAGGAATTCACATTCTTGGGCCTCCTCTCAGAAACTCTGAGGGCAGGGCCCAGGAATCTGTGTTATTAGAGGCCATCCAGGTGATGCTGATGTCTGCTGAAGCTCAAGAACCTCTGCTTTATACTATTTCCTCCTCTTAGGCATCTGTCCATTACAGAACCCATCACATGACATTTCATCTATATGTTTACATAATTGCTTTCTTTGCTCTCTGAGGGTATGACAATATTTTATTTACCAAAGATCCTAGGCCCTCACTGAACTGACTAAAATGAATTCCCCTCTGTAGTCCATGATTTTAGTGACAATAACAATAGTAATAACATGATAGTAGTGAATATTTATATAGCACTAATCTTAGAAAAACCTGTAATTACAAGTCCAGCAATGTAATCATGGCCTATCTAAAAGAAAGAAGCACCTCTAATATATTAATAGTATGAGGACTGGCTGATGCCTTAGCCTTTTGTATAAAGAACAATGGACTTGGAGCCAGAAGATCTGGATTCAAGTCCCAGTTCTGATATTTATTAACTCTGTGCTTTTGTACAATCATTTCATATCTCTGGGGATCAGTGTCCTTATCTACAAAACACAGATAAGCATATAGGACAATGTAAGGGAAGTCAATTTGCAAGCTGTAAAATGGCATTGAACGTTTTCGTCTCATCTCTCTAACCTTTTTTCCATGTGTGTAGCACAGCTTTTGCCTCTCATCTTCATTCCACTCATGGTTTTAAGCTCAGTAGATCAAAATGTGAGAACTAATGAGGCAGGAAGAGGGGGGCTGAGCTGAGACTGGAAGGAAAGGAAGGAGAGCTCAGCCTGTCTCAGCACGTTATTTGGCCTCTCTTTGGTCTTTCCTCATCCAAGAGAGTCCATGGCCAAGAGCTGACACTGAAACTTAGCTTCACAAACTACCTAGAGTTGATGTGACGCAAGACAATCCTACACATCCCAGCCTACACAAGTCAGTTTTGTCACTCTGCCATGCAAAATAGTTTGAATGTTCACGGGAT